CTGCTATCAAGGGTGAATTTTGCAGAGCCATTCCTTTGAGTTAACTCTACCCAACAGGAGCCTATTTCCCCTGATCCCTGACAACCAAAGTCCATGCTGTGTGCTACAGGCCAGTCCTGTTTGGCTGAGGCTACTTCCAGAAATAAATCCTCAGCATTTCAACAACACAGCTCTTTGGATTCCTCCTGCCGACATCCCTCAGTGATAAACACTGGCCAACCAGTAGACCTTTTACCCTGGAAGTGCCATTTGCCCATTTCCTGCCCTCTGGCTTCTTCAGTTGATTCTCCTGAAACTTTTGGAAATTATGGAAGGACCCAGCTCTCATGTTCTCTTAGACAAGGAAGGCAGAGGTGCTACTGATCCTTCATCAAGGAGGCAGTGTGTGTACATTTTGATTACTGAGGTAGAACATGAAGAATAACGTGTTCTAGGTACGCCTAACATATTTGCACATGTAAATCTCTCATTGAGGCTAATTACACTCAGCTCTCTATAACTGTGATTTCAAACCTGGTGGCATGCAGCGCCCTCTTTGTGGGCACACAAGTTCAGCTCCACTGCGCATGCACCTCCCACCAGCCAGCTGGTCTTTGGGTCTCTGCGCACATGCATCGGGGGGCGGGGATGGGCGGGACCCCCAACGTGCACAATTGTGGGGTGGGGTGAATGCACGTGTGTGCAGAGGCAGGGCACATTCACGGAGGCTACGCACGCATTGCATTTGGGGGGTTCGGGCGCACTTTGGGCACCAAAGGTTAGTTATCACTGCTCTTGAGTAACTTGATTCATTCAGCTGCTGTGGTACACTTAGGCATTGTTGATTTTAATTTGATTTTAAAAAAGACATTTCAGGAATGAATATAAATTCCGAACACATGGAAAATTCAACCAAGTCACAGCCATTTTTTCCCCTGTTTTATCAAGACACATTTTTTTTAGAAGGGATGGGACAATTCATTATAGGGAGAAAAAGCTCATTGTTCTTACAAAGCAAAAAAAGTATATATATTTTTACATTTCTCATTTATCCCCAACACTAAATCATTTGAAAAAAATTCAACATTAAAAATTAACACATTTCTGGATTCTACCAAAACGATCATCCCGATAACCATACCGTAAGAAGAGCTGCCTGTTTAAAATCCAACATTCCCTACTCCGCCTGGATTACAAGAACCATTTTTCCCGTCACTTTCTACTGAATTATGATTCACCTCAAAATAGCCATTAGTGGTTTCCCCCCCAAAATGGATTATGCATGCTGGATGGCTAATGGAAAGGGCAACAGGATTGTTAAGGACAATGCCGTGGAGCAATTTCATCACTTTTTGGAAATGACTATTTTGTGATTGGCCACACACAGACTCTGACAACCATTTTGTGGGTGAACTAACCCACTCTATGACAGCAATTCTTTGAGAACACTTATAACTTGGTTTCAGAATAAATGTATAAAAACTGCTGGTACAAAGGATCTTCATATATCATGACGAATCTGGCCAGTTGGTTGTAGGGATTAAGGTGCTGGCCTAGAAACCAGCAGATAGTGAGTTCTAGTACTGTCTTTGGAATGAAAAGTGATTTGGGCCCAAATACCAGGAGACGGTGAGTTGTAGTCCTGCCTGAGACATGAAAGCTAGTTGAGTGACTTTAAGCTAATCAACAGGAGATCCGTTTCTAGTGCTGCCTTAGTCATGAAAGGTAGCTGGGTGATTGTAGGGCAATCACCAGGAGACAGTGAGTTCTAGTTCTACCTGAGGCATGAAAGCTAGCTGGGTGACTTTAAGCCAGTCAGTCACTCTCAGCCCAATCTACCTCACAAGGCTGTTGTTGCGGGGGGGGGGGAATAGGAGAAGGAAGGAATATTAGATATGTTCACCACCTTGAGTTATTTATTAAAAAAATAATAAACGTGGGATATAACACAATTAAAAAATGGGGAACCCCACCCCCCTCCACCCTCTGTTTTTTATAAGAATTGTTCAGATGCAACTTTTTAATTTGGTTTTTTACGCTACCCTTACTATTTTCCTATTGCTTCTGTTGTCATTTATTAGTTTATCTCAGCAGGTTTTAGCAATCAAGGCGTTGCAAAAATAAAGATTTTGAATATGGATAAAAACTGCTTTGACAGCCTAGTCCAGCAAAAAAATATATGCTAAGAGACATTCTGAATTCATCAGATCTGTTTGCTTTGGTTCCAGGAGGGAAAGTGTGAAATTAGGCTGAAGCTACCATGCCTAAGACAAAGCAAGAGGGATAGCCAGAAGTCCTGTCTATTCAGGAGACAGATAAAGAACCAAGTCCTTAAAGAAACAATGCAAGAATGTCACCCAAATCAAACAAAAGCCTGGCCTGAATACATAGCAGCCCCCTTCCCCTAATCCCATCAGTGGTGGACAGTCTTGGGAATCAACAAAGCAACTAGGGTGATAAAAGGAGTCTTGAAGCCCACCCACTCTTTTTCACTCAGCTTTGAATCCAGACCTGGAGGTGCCTGGGTGAGAAAGATGTGGGTAAGTTATGGATGAATGCGTGTGGGGAAAGCAATTGTAACAAGTCAAATTTTGCTGTTATTTAAAATTGTACTGGGTTAAGTTTGAAAGTGAACGGATTGTGGCTGTGAGTGTGTGAGTGACATAAGCTGTGCCCAGGAGCATGTGTGTAACAAAAGAGAACACAGATGTAACATGCCTTCCCGTACCCATCGAAAATTTCTTAACTGATTTTCTTCTTCTAATGTTTGGGTCTGAGAGCCAAACGTAAACCAGTGGCTTCTAATCTTTGTTCTGGAGATCTCCGCAGATCACTTAAAGCGTAGCTGATGGTCCCTGGAGTAGGGACCGACATTAAAACAACAACAACACTATGACGTTTCCCCAAATCATTCAAGGTCTGATTAATTCACTCAATGTTCACAAAACCGTTATCTTTTTTAGACGAATATAATTAAAAAGGAACACATGGGCAACCAAGCCCACACACTTTTGGTTAGGCAGGGCAGAAATTTAAAATCGCTTTGTTACGTATCCAGATTAAGGAGGGAAGCCAGTAAATAAAAGCTTCATTCAGGTCCGCCACCAAGGCGGGAAAAAATAGTTTGTTCCTATTGACTGAAGCGGCTGACAGCTCCCTGTAAAAGGCGAGGTGACAGTTTACCTGTGGTGATGGGTAAAGGGCTAATACTATCATGCCTTAATCCCATCACCCTGGAGCTGACGGGGGATATCTTTGTTATGTAGAATAGATTGACTCAGGCCTTTTAATGCCCAATTGACAAAGGTGGGGGCTATTAAGAGTGAGTCTGTTTCCTGCCTAAAAACATGTTTCTCCATTTCTTACCCAGAGAAATATAATATTCTGCCTTTTCAATATTTCTCAGGATATTTCATTTTTCTAGGAGAGGGGTGGGTTTTAACTTCCTACAGTAATAAAGAGCATTGCATCAGGTCTATCTCTGTCTCTTCCATCCTCTCACTATCGAACAGGGCTCATTATGATCAATCATTCATATAAATAACACAGGAATCAGGGATCATCTTAACTGATCAAGATCATTTTTTAGGTCACTGGTTGACTGCAGAAACTCTGAATTTAGCCCTGGTAAGATCAGCACTGCAGAGGTCTATAATGAAAGGCCTCCATCCACAGAGATTCCTTGGATGTATAAAATTCAAAGATCGTTTTCATTGCAGATCACAGTTGTTAATAAGCAAATTATTTTGCAAGAAAAACAAATCAGGAACCTGAGTCTCGCCCTCGGTCCCTGTGCTGTACATGAGTTCAGAGGAAGCGGAAAAGTACTCTTACCTCAATGACCTTGAGAAGCCAAGGACAATAAAAAAGGCCATTTTTCCACGTTACTGTGCTGGATTTCTGCTCCCCTTGGTGCTTTTGTGACCTAGATCAGAGCCCCTCACCTCCTGCCAGTTTGTTCTTAAACGTTTCTTGTTCTTGTTTCTGCTTTCACATTTCACTTTCGCAATGAAAGTTCAGTAGGGACCGTTGTAGAAAGTTTGAATTCCATTTTCTCTTTCGTTTTGTTTGGGTTTGGCTTTGAGGCTGAAATGAGAATTCTTTCCTGGGAATTGGGGATAAATGTTGGGGTTTGTCTGCATGCACATCGAGAGCAGCAGCTGTCCGTCTTGCAGCCCCAGATTAACATATAGGGCTGGAATCCAAAGGCATCCCCTCTGATTCTTAACTGAATAAACCATGGTTAGGTGTGGCCAAGACTCTTGGAAACTCCACTTTTATCTAGCTGTGGGAAGTGGGGAGGGGAAGGAGAACATTCACTAAAAGCCTCATAGAAAAGGGAGCAAAAAAAAAAAAATTAGACCAAAGACAGGTCAGAGCTGAGTATGGTATGGATGAGTAACAAGTCCAGTTGCCTTTTGAAAAAGCACTTTTGGGATGGACCAAAAATGGTTTGCCATGTTTAAAACTGCAGTAATTAACAACGATCAACATTGCAGGGCTGTTGTTGCATGGTCCTTTTTGATCGCCACAGCCTGCAATAGAAGTATAACGGAACGTGATAAATGTTAATGCTTAATAGTTTTCCTTTAAAAAGAATCACAGGATTCAGATGAAACAACAGTATAACAGAGTCGAAAGACACTTTAACAGATTGGAAGGGACTTGTAGGTCATCTAGTCCAACCCCCCACCCAACAGGAGACCCTGCACCATTTCTGACAAATGGCAGTCCAATCTCTTCTTGAAAGCTTCTAGTAATGGAACACGCACTACTTTGTTGTGGTTCAGCAGGAATATATGTATTGTTCTCGTCTTTGAAAGCAGTACTCAGGTTCAGCCTGGGCAAAGAGGAGATGCTTATCTTCATTTCTTCGTAGCTCTATGTAGACGCACTTTCACAGCTGCCTTCTATTGGGTTTGAAAAATGCGGGCCACTTAAAACCTCTGCCCTTTTTCTATCTCTGCGCTCCCAGTGACGTCGGCCGTTTTTGTCTCCGCGCGCATGCGCTTTTCGCTGTCGGGAGAACGCTTGTTCAGGCGAAGGGGTAGCTAGGCCGAGAGAAGCCGGGGGCTCGCGTAGATGTCTTCGCCGGAGGAGGCGTGGGTCGCGCCGGCCCCGGAAAGGGACCTGCCGCTAGAGTGGGAAACGGATGAAGAACGCATGGCGTTTCTGTTCTCGGCTTTCAAACAGAGCCGGGAGGTTAACGCCACCGAGTGGGACAGCAAGATGGGCTTTTGGAGCGAGCTGGTGTTGAAATGGGGAAGACGGAAAGGAGGGATCTGCACCTGCTTGAGGGAGCTCCAGCAGGCTTTCGAGCGCCGGGGGAGCGTCCCTCTCAGCCTGGGCACCGTCCTCCGCGAGCTGCTCAGGTGAGGCCCGCGGTGGGGGGAGGGCGAGAGTGCCTCTGAGCATGTGCTGATGGCCTCCCACAGTTTCACTCCAAGATCTGCTTTTTTCCAGGAAGGGGAAGAAGGGGAGGCCGTACTTGACCTCATATCATTTTAAGATATATAACCTTTATTTCTTAAAATGTGTTTCTTTTTAGTCCCACGTTTTATTTGTTTTATTTCTATTGCTTTCCATTTCCATCAGACAGTGTGTGATCTGGGTACAATTATTTAAACAGTCATAATCCACATATTTGTTGTTGTATGTGACACAATAATGTTAATAATATAACAATATACTAATGTAGTTGCAATAATATATAACATCTTTATCATCAAATTCTCTCCACATTAATATTTCCTTTTTGTATCTCTCTGGTTGTTGAATTGTTTTTAAATTGTGGTATTGTTTGTCCATGTCTTCTCCCCCCCCCCGCTTATTTGTATCCCCTGCCCCCCCCCCCTGACTTGGGTTGTGAGCCGCCCTGAGTCCCTTCTG